TGGCCAAGGAGTAGCAAACAAAAAGAGAAGCAGCAAATCGCGTATGCTGCTGCTGCTGCAGTGCTGCAGCAGCCGCCATACAACAGAGTCCCAGCAGCAGCTTATAGTACTAGGAGGCAGCACTGCTGTTACTGCAGCAGCAACTGCAGCAGCAGGAACAGATGGAGGGGACGCCAAGTGCAGCAGCAGCTCTGCATCACAATAATATCAGCAGCAGCAACAGCAGCAGCAACAGCAGCAGCAACAGCAGCAACAGCACGCACACAATGTAATACTTTTGTCTTAGGGCTAATGCAGCATGTGCAGTTGCTTCTGCTCCCATTGCTGCTGCTGCTCCTGCTGCTCTTGCTGCTGCTGCTGCTGCTGAGGCTGACTCACCGCATTGATTGTCAAGCACGTGCTGCTGTGGGGCCCCCTGGGGCCCCCTGCTGCTGCTGCTGCTGCTGAAGGGTTTCCTTGAGAAGAGACCCGTCGCCGCTGCTCCCGGTGCTGCAGCCATTCAAACAAAACAGACACACAAACCCTTGCTGCTGCTGCTGCTGCTGCTGCTGCTGCTGCTGCTGCTGCTATCGGTGCTACAGGCCTTGCTGATGCTACCACTGCTGCTGGTTCCGCTTGTGCTGCTGCTACTGCTGCTGCTACTGCTGCTGCTGCTGCTGCTCATTTGTTTGCTGCACTCACCTACACAAACAACACGGATGTTCTGCATGCGTAGCTCGGCACTGAGTGCTGCTGCTGCTGCTGCTGTTGCTGCTTTTGTTGCTGCATAGACACCTTGCCCAGGTGGTGGTGCAGCAGCAACAGCAGACCCAACAAATATAATGCGGCTAGGGAGACAAAAGGAGACACCAAATAAACTTAGGAGACACTCCTTTAACACCAGTCGCCACTCCGGTGGCGCTGCTGCTGCTGCTGCTGCTGCTGCTGCTGCTGCTGCATCGGCTGCTGCAAACGATGTGGGGACAGCAGCACCTCGGCTGGGTGCCACCAGCGGACCTCCTGAAGCTGTTGCTGCTTCTGCTTCTGCCGTTGCTGTTATTGCTGCTGCTGCTGCTGCTGCTGCTGTCGTTGAGCATTTTCCAGCACCAGGAGCAGCAGCACCAGCAGCAGCAGCAGCAGCAGCAGGTAGGCTGTCTCCCCTCAGCAGCGGCAGCAGCGCATGCACTACCCTTAGACTACCAAAGAAGTTGACATTAAACTCCTCCATTGCCTCACCTATTAATGCATCACCATCAACAGCCTGCAGCAGCAGCAGCAGCAACAGCAGCAGCAGCAACAGCAGCAGCAGCAGCAGCAGCAGCAGTAGCAGAATATTCTACCGTGAATAATAAGACACAATCCCCAACAAAAGCAGCACCAGCAGGAGCAGCAGTAGCAACAGCAGCACCAGCAGCAACAACAACAGCAGCAGCAACAGCAGCAGCAGCAACAACAGCAGCAGCAGCAGCAGCAGCAGGGTCACCTGTACAGGAAAAGAGGCCCATACACCCGCACCGCATACAACTGCGTATAGCCGGGGGGCCCCCAAGTACAATTTTATAAATTTTTTTATTATAAGGGGGGCCCCCCTATTATCTTCATTACTCTTAAGGTCCCATCTTATAACAATAAAGCCACAGTGCATGCAACAGCAGCTGCTGCTGCAGCTGCTGCAGCTGCTGCTGCTGCTGCTGCACCAATCAGCAGAAGGGCATACAGCAGCAACAGAACAATCAGAGGCAGCAGCCAACACTGGTGAGACTCCGTGGGCTCCCCTCGCCTGCTGCTGTTGCTGCTGCTGCTGCTGCTGTTGCTGCTGCTGTTGCTTCCCATAGTGGGGACAGGTCTGTTTATGCAGCCGTGCTGCAGTCTCCTTGACTTTTGCTGCTGCACTGCAGCAAGCAGCAACAGCAAACCCCCGCTGCAGCAGCAGCTGACACAGCAGCAGACAAATGCCCCCATCTGCCCCTGTTACAGCCACACACAGCGATCTGCTGTTGCTGCTGTTGCTGCTGCTGCTGCTGCTGCTGTTGCTGCTGCTTATGCTCTTGCGACTGCCTTTCTCTTTGGATGTGTTGTTCGAGCTGCTGCTTATGCTGCTGCTTATGCTGCTGCTGCTGCTGCTGCTGAAGGCAGCAGCATCCAAGCAACACCATGCTGCAGCGTAGACCTGTGTACAGACACCGACAGTTATCAGCAGCAAGAGGAGGCCCCAGAGGGGCCCCACCTGCTGCTGCTCCCGTGTAGTGCTACAATGCGGCTTACAAGATCAGCAGCACAAAAGTGCACTTTTCTGCACCGAGAGATGGTACTGCTGCTGCTGCTGCTGTTGCTGCTGCTGGTGCTGCTGTTGCTGTTGCTACTACGGCTGCGAAGGGAGAAAGACATGGGAAGGATAACAACGCCAAGAGTTGTTGCACCGATCGCTGCTGCTGCTGCTGCTGCTGCAGCAGCAGCAGCAGTAGCAGAGTATGCAGCAGCAGATGCGACAGAAAAGGAACCCCAGCAGACAGCCAGCAAGGACAAGGAAAAGAGAAAAGCATTCGCAAGAAGCTCGCTGCTGCTGCTGCTGCTCCTGCTGCAGTGTTGCTGCTCCAGCTGAACTTCGTAGGTCCCCCGCAGCAGCCAGCGGAGGCCCCCTGCTGCTATAAGTGATGCAGCAGCAAGTGCCTCTGCTGCTACGACCTGCTGCAGCAGATCAGTTTGCTGCTGCTGCACACACGTTTGTTGCAGCAAACATATTTGCTGCTGCTGCATGCATGCTTGCTGCAGCAGGTATAATAACTGAAGACAGACAGCAGCAGCAAAAAAGGCAGCAAAGGCACATACGAAGGATCCTGCATGTGGCAGCAAGGCGAAGAATCGATATCGCGCCTGCTGCTGCTGCTGCTGCTGCTGCTGCTGCAGCTGCAACTGCTGCTGTTGGGAATCCCCCTGTTTGTCACAGGAGGCAGCTAGGGCCCCCTTTAGGGCCCCCATTATTACCCTATGACCTGTGCTGTGCGGAGGGGCCCCCGTGTTGCTAAGGGGCCCCCGTGTCTTCGGGGGCCCCCCTACGTTCTTAAGGCTTTAGTCCCTCTGCATGCAGTAAATACTGAATAAATAAAAGAAAAAAACAAACAAGAAAGTTCTGTAGGGGTGTGATCTGCAAAAAGGGCTCTACTGGGGCCCCCCATGAGGGGCCCCTGTACACTACAGGGGGGCCCCCCTAGTAAGTAGTTTTTCCTGTTGTACACACAGCACGTATATAAGCTAGACTCAGCTAATCTATGCAGATACTAATTAAATAAGTAAATAATTACTATAATAACATATTATTGTCTATATTATTAAGAAAAAAACAAAGAAAAATAAAACTAACGAACTCCTCCCTCCCCTAACACAGCCTAATGAGCCAATGGAACTCCGTATGCTCACCCCTACGCCTCCTGTGGGCCCCCTATAGGCCTCCTGTAGGCCTCCTGTAGGCCTCCTGTGGGCCCCCTATAGGCCTCCTGTAGGCCTCCTGTAGGCATCCTATAGGCCTCCTATAGGCCTCCTGTAGGCCTCCTATAGGCCTCCTATAGGCCTCCTGTAGGCCTCCTATAAGCCTCGTATAGGCAGGAGGAGGAATATTATTAACTTAATTGTCCTTTTTTTTTATCTAATATATATAAGTATACGTATATAAGTATATTTATAGGACTGAGCTACCCTTAGCCTCCTACCCAACAACGAATTGCTCATGGATAAGCACAGTAGAGGAAGGAAGGCCTCCGTTAGCTGCATAAGGAGCAGCAGGGCCTCTTAGTATGGACTCGTCTACCCCACATAGTCGATCCCCGGACGATCCCCGATCCCCTGACTACCCGATCCCAGCTCACCTCCTCCCAATTGGCCTGCATGCTGTATATCTACTAGTCTTAGGGGCCCCCTTACCTAATTATACCTAATAATTGTTCCTCTCTTATCTATATTTACCCTTATACTGGTGCCTACCCTACCCCTGTCCCCTCCTCCCCCTATATAAGAAGAATGTACCTGCTGCTTACCTATGAATCGCCACCAAGGCGCGTCTTGTTTATATACTCCTCTATAGGACTACCTGCTCCTTTTGTCTCTGCATGCAGATACTATTCTTGTATTATTATATTTATACCCTAACTATTCTTCTATTGAACTATTTCCTCCTCCCTCCCTACTAGATAGAGGGGGACGCCATCTATCCCTATTATTATCTATCCCTCTCCTCCTCCTCCTCCTCGTCCTCGTCCTCCTCCTCCTCCTCCTCCTCCTCCTCCTCCTTTCTGATGTTGTTGGACAGTGTCCTCTTAGGTAGGCAGCAGTAGGGCAGCAACGAGCTGCATGCCCTCTTCCCTTAGACTTATAACACACTTGTCCAACCCCACCATACAGTAGTGGTGGTGGTGGTGGTGGTGGGGTTGGTGGTGGGGTTGTAAACCAGGGAGGGCTCTATTACTCCCCTTTCCTGTATAATTAGTTAATAGGCTAGTAGATGCATGCGCCTATTGGGGCTTTTTCTATAAGGAATTCTTGTAGTTCTTCTCTATGCCTCTTGTTTTCTTCCTCCTCCTCCCTCCATCCCTCCTCTAGTGTAGATAGAGCTCTTGCTGCCTGCCTGCCTGCCTGCCTGCCTGCTGCTGCTGCTGCTGCTGCTGCTGCTGTAGCCAGTGGGTATACGTGACGGACCCATGGTGAGTAACAAGACGTCGTAACCTAATAGGGAGATTAGCAAGAAAGTACACAACTAAATATTTATTATTTAATTATATTATTCCCTTAGATATAATTCTACGGCAATTTTCTATAAATATGCAAAAAAAAAGGAAAAAAAAATATATATTTGCTACTAATTGACGGAGGAGGTGTGCACGACTAATCGTGCATGCATGCATGCAGAAAAAAAGATTGAATTATTTCTTTATTGTTAACTAGTTAGACAGACATATATTTACTCCTTTTTTCCTTAAGGTATACCCAATAATTAAGGGCCTCTCCTTCTAGGTATTCTCCTTCTTCTTCTCCCCTATTCTCCTCTGGTACCTTCTTCTTCTTGTATATATACTCTATATAGTACAGGAAAGAGGACATATTATCCCCCTTTTCCTTGGGGGGAGGGGGAGACAAGAAAGTTGTTGTTGTTGTTGGTATTAGTAGTAGAGTCTGCATCCTTGTTACCTCTCTTAGTAGTCCAGCTACTCCTGCTTAGCTCCTTGTGCCCCTCCCCCGCCGCCCCCCGGTGGGGAGGAGGCGCAGGCGCCTCCTCCCCCCGGCGCCAGCCTGCGCCTCGTCTGCCTGTTCTATGGAGTCCTTAGGAGAATAATAAGTTGAACTAATTGTACTAACGGGGTAAATAGGTTGGGCTTCCTGTTCGTCAGACATTTTCTTTGTTAGTAGGGCTACGCTAACAAGACGCAGGGCCCTTAAGGAAGAAAAATAAAAGATAATTGTACTAAAAAATAAACAAATATAATAGATATATATTAGGGTATTTATTATTCCCCTTAACAACCCCACCAATGTACAGGGAGGAACCGCTAGACTTCGTCATTACTACTACGTATGTGACCTAATTGTGCCTATAGATGCCCATGCTGCATGTATTGCTAAATAAAATCCCTAAACATTTTATTAATCAATAATTAATTGAATAAAACCTATACTTTTCCTTATTATTAAGGAAGAAAACAAAGAAAAATACAACTAACGGGCTCCTCCCTCCCCTACTAGAGTCCAATGGAGCGAGCAGGCGTCAGCCCTACAAGGTCACCCCTAGGACTCGTGTAGGCAGGAGGACGAGCATTCTTAGCTCATTTTGTCCTTTTTTATCTAAATAATATATATATAATTGTATTTATATTTATAATTGTTCCTTTTTGTTAATTTAGACCCTTATGGGTACCATTTGCTCTCTGTATTATAGTGTAGGTGCTCTACACAGGCCCCCCCCATTGGTGTCTGCTGTTGTACCCCCAGGGGGCCCCCCTCTCCTAGTACCCTTCTAAACCCTAAACCCTAAACCCTAAACCCTAAACCCTATCCGTGGGGTCTAGAATATATTTACTTAAACTCGTGGGAAACCCTTAGACAGTTAGAGATCTACGCGCACACTGCTCAGCACCAGCAACAGCACCAGCAGCAGCAACAGCAGCAGCAGCAACAGCAGTTGCTGCTGCTGTTGCTGCAAACAGGTCCGAAATAATGATACAATTCTTCATATATGAGTGTACCATGACAAAATAAAGCTGCTGCTGCTGCTGCTGCTGCTGCTGCTGCTGCAGCAGCAGCAACATACATACATGGGCCCACTGTATATATCATAAGAAATAATACCTTAATAAGAAGGTCTTAATAAATAACATATTAATAAATAATATATTAATAAATAATATATTAATAAATAATATATAAATAAATAATATATAAATAAATAACACATATAAATAAAATAATAAGATCTTAATAGATAAATAAGGTCTTAATAAGTAAGAAAAAGATGATAATAAATAAGCAATTAATAAATAAGACCTTAATAAATAATAAGATCTTAATTAATAAATAATACCTTAATAAATAAGATATTAATATATAAATAAGACCTAAATAAATAAATAAATAAATAAATAAATAAATAAATAAATAAATAAGATGTTAATAAAGGGTACCCATAAAAGGGGGCAAATAAACAAATAAAAATATACAAAAAATGCCCCTTTAATTTAATTGCATGCACAGCACACAAAACGATACCCATGTAGGGGGGGCCCCCATTATGGGGCCCCAATGGGGGCCCCCATTGGGGGGCCCAATAAATACAAAGAAAAAATAAGTAGGATAACCCACTAAACTACACAAAAGGGTACCCAAGAGGCCCCCCACCCCCAGAGAAGAGACCAAAAAAATACCCCAAGTAAGCAGTTGGGGGCCCCTGGGGCCCCCATGTGCTTCTTAATAAGGTACTTGGGGCCCCCTCTATACATGTTCATATAATAATCGTAAACAGGGGGCCCTCCAAGTACTAAGGATATAAATACGGAGGGGGGAGGGAAGGGGGGGGCCCTTAAGTGTTCCATATAAAGGTACCATGGGGGGCCCCCAGTGTTAAGGAAACAAAAATAACCAGGGGGGCCCCCCTCCTCATGCCTTATGCAAGGGTTACTCAAAAGGAAGGTACCAACTGTGCACATAGGGCCCCTGTAGGTGTCTTATACGACGGGGGGGAACCAAAGGGGGGCCCCCAAGGGGGGCCTCCAAAGAAGGCCCCTAAAGGGGGCCCCCAATAAGGGGGGCCCCTTAAACCCCCAAAGGCAACGAAGCCACTACAAAGGAGGGGCCCCCCATTAGTAAGCTGTATTATTAATGGGTATATATAATAGGGGATAGGAAGGAGACAGTAGATAGATAACGCTGCGTATATAAGAAGAAAGGAGACACAATAAATGTGTCTCCTTTCTTTTTATATATACAGTATAAATAAGAGACAAAAAAAGAGACAAAAAAAAAAAAAAAAAAGAAACAAAT